GGAGAGTTCCCCCTGAGGCTCAGCACCTGGTCCAGGGAGTGTGTGTGTGTGTGTGTGTGTGTGTGTGTATGCGCACACACGTGCATGTGTGTGTGTGATTTCTCTGCCTTTGCCAGTGGTGGCACCTAAACCAGAGCCTGTCCCAGCTCTAATAGCATCATTGTGTCAACTTCTTTCACATTAGCAAATCAGGATGGAACAATTCTCTGGGGAAAACTGGGTCTTCACAGAGGCTCATGCAGGGACATTTGATGATGTGATAAGGAGAATCGCTTTGAGATTTTAACGCCCTTTTCTCAGTGGACAAGTAGATCTCACCACGGCCATGGAGTATACTATTTCCAATTTTTTGAGAAAATGCCAGGCTAGTTTCCATAGTGGTTGCACCATTTTACACTCCCACCAGTAGTGAATAAGGGTTCCAATCTCACCACAACCTCACCAACATTTGTTGTTTGGTGCTCTGTTGAACTTTGCTATTGTTCCTGGGTGAGATGATATCTCATAGGCGTTTTGATTTGCACTGATGGCAATTCATTTTCTTGAGAAAACATTCCATATTGTTTAGGACTCTTATTCTACCAACAAACTCTCTCATTGCTGTTGAGTTTGAGCAGACTCATAGCTGACACTCTATGGGGTTTTTGAGGGTGTAAATGGAAAGGGAAGAGATTATCCATCTCTTTCCTGAGGAGCGGCTACGTGGATTCGAACTGACAGAGAGGCTTGGCCTTAGAGTTAGTGGTACAACTCACTACAGACAAGGCACCTGAGAGCTCTCTATTCTACCAGAGGAAGGAATACACAGAGTCATTATATCAGAAAGAATTGGCTGACAGAGAAGAATTTTATGAAACAATATATGATCAAAAGGCAATGGTGATTAAGGAAGGTGTTTAAGCTGTTCTGCAGGAATTGGCAAAAAAACAAGGCCCCAGGAATTGACAGCATAAAAAATTGACTTTCCCCCCCCCCAACAAACTAAAGTGCTTCCCTGTACTCACCAGGTTGTGCCAAAAACTCAGGAGGACAACTACCTAGCCAAATGACTGGAAGAGATCCATATTTATTCCTATTCCCAAAAAGGTGATCCATCAGAGTGTAGAAATTATTGAACAATATCACTAGTATCGCACACAGGCAAAATGCTGCTGAAGATTCTTCCAAAATAACTAGAGCAGTACATTGTCAGAGAACTAGTAGGAATACAAGCTGGGTTTAGAAGAGGCCATGGCACTAGAGACACTATCACCGATGTCGGATGGATCCTGGCTGAAAGAAGAGAGCACCAGAGGAATGTCTACCTGTGTTTCATTGACTATGCAAAGGCTTTTGACTATGTAGATCACAAAAAATGTGGCTAACCTTGAGAAGAATGAGGATCTCAGAATGCTTGATTGTGCTTGTGTGAAACCTATACTTGGACCAGGAGGCAGTTGTGAGAACAAAGCAAGAAAACACTGCATGTTTCAAAATCAGGAACGGAGGGTGTCTTGGATGCATCCTGTCTCCATATCTTTTTAATCTGTGTGCCAAAAAGATCATTTGAGAGGCTGGATTTTATGAAGAGGAGTGTGGCATCAGGATTGGAGGAAGGCTTATCAATAACCTGTGTTATAAAACAAAGCAAAACAACCTGTGTTATGCAGATGATACAACCTTGCTTGCCCAAAATGAGGGGGACCTGAACCATTCGGTGCAGAAGGTCAAGGACTGTAGTCCTCAATATAGATTGAAAAGCAACACCAAGAGGACAAAGATTCTCACCACTGGGCCAATTGGTAGCACCATGATGGATGGAGAAGAGATTTAGGTTGTTAATAATTTCAGCTAGCTCTGCTCCACAATCAATACTCTTGGCACCAGCAATCAGGAAATCAAAAGATTACATTTGGAGAAGTCGGCTATTAGGGACTTCTCCAAAATGCTGAAGAGCAATGATATCAATCTAGAGACTAAAGTGCACCCAATCCAGGACATGGTCTTCAAAATTACTTGCTATGCATCTGAGAGATGGACTTCGACTAAGGATAACAGAAGAATTGATGTCTCTGAGTTGTGATGCTGGAGAAGAGTCTTGAATATACCACGGACCTCCAAGAGAATAAATAGGAGAAGGTCTTGGAGAGGGTGTAACCAAGTTTCTCTTTGGGGGCTAGGATTTTGAAGCTCCTCCATCTTACATACTTCAGGCATGTGGCCAGGAAGGACCAATACTTGGAGAAGGACGTCATTCTTGGAATGGTGAAAATACAACACAGGAGAGAAAGACCCTGAATGAGATGGATTGACATAGTAACTGGGGCAACAAGATTAGGTGTATTAGAGTCAGTCAGACTGGCTTAGGGTAGAGCAAGGTTCAGAACTATTTTACATGGGGTCACTATGAGTCGTGGGCAACTCGATGGCACATAACAACAACAAGCAAAGGGGACTTTTAAAAAAAGTATAAAAACCTCCAAAGAAAGATTGACTCACCAACCTGCAGAAAAAGCCAGAGACACAGCTGGGTTGTGTCAGGAGCAACTGCAACAAGGAACCAAAAGCCCTTGGCTCTGCTTCTCTTGTCAGCTTCTTTCTTCCACATTGCAGAATGGCTTCCTGCACAATGTAGGACACATGGCAGCTGAAAGCCTGGGCTTATTGCTTGCAGGTCTTCACCACAGATTGACTGGCTTTTTTCCCTAACTCCAGTTTAAAAAATGCTGGTGAAAAACTTTAATTGGCACAGTTTGGGTCTGATACTTATGTGGGCACCATGTGGAGTTATTATTGGACCCAAAGTTGCCATTGGAATAATTTATCCACATTAGAATGGGAGAAGAGTCTCAAAGGCAGTGGGAGCATACATGGGTGCAGCTTCTACAACAAAAGGATTGTACCTCTTAGCCCCAACTTCCTAACAATTATAATCATCCAGCTCTAGGCCCTTTGTGGATGCCTTTAGAGATGTAGGAAAAGAAAGAATTGTGGATGAAATGTGGTCATTCCCAACGGCTAGAACTAGGTTTAGGGGAATACTTAGGCTTTGCCTTCAGGAACTTGTTGAATTATTTTCTAAGTATTAGAAGTTATTGTTCATAGGAACTTGAATTTTTTCTTTTTCCCCACAAAAAGAGAAATTTTTTGTCCGAAATGATATTGCCAAATGCTTTCCCCCCATCAGTAGGTTTTCTTTTCAGTCTTTGGAAAAACTTTTTGATGCCCACAGAATTTAATCTTTAGAAGGTCCCATTCCTTAATTTTATCCTCTCCAGATGGTGCATTTCTGCCTGTATTTGGTAGTCTCTTTATACCATTGACTAGGTCATCCAAGCTTGATTCCAGTTTGTTTCTGATGAACTTTATGGTTTTGGGCTTTACTGTCAGGTCTCTAATCCACCTCGAATTGATTTTTGTATATGGTGTGAGATGTGGATACTGTTTCAGCTTTCTGAAGGTAGCAGTCCAGTTTTGTCAGCACCATTCTTTGAAGAGGTTGTCATTTCCCTATTTGATAGGTTTTATTTCCTTGTTGAATATCAGTTGACCATAGATAGCTGCGTCCATTTCTGAGTTCTAAATTCTGTTCCATTGGTCTGTATGCCTGTCATTGTACCAGTACCAAGCTATTTCGGTTACTACCACTGTTTAGTAGGTAAGGTAAGGTCAGGGACTGCTAAGCTTCCCATTTCATTTTTGTGTTCAGACGTGCTTTGCTTATTATTTCCTCTCCAAATCAAAAGTTTACAGAACCCTACAGGTCATCCACAAGAAAAGGGCTGAGAACAAATTACAAAATAGGCAAGAGTTTTCACAGAGGAAGATACTAGGATGGCCCATAGACACATGTAAAAATGTTCAAAATCACTGACAATCAATCAATCAATCAAATAAAAAACCACAATGAGCTATCATCTCACCCCAGTAGTAGTGAGAAAGTTTAACAGGACAGAAAAAAAAGAAGTGTTGGAGAGGATGTGGTGAGATAGAAACTCTTGTACATTCTTGGTGGGGTTGTAAAATGGTACAACCACTCTGGAAGGCAGTTTGGAGTTTCCTCAAAAAGCTGAACATAGAAATTCCATATGACCCAGCTATTCCACTGACTGCTTGGAATATACCCTGAGAAAATGAGAACTGAGACACAAATGGAGACTTGTACATCAATGTTCACAGCAGCATTATTCACTATCTCAAGAACATGGAAACAGCCCAAATGTCCAATAGCAATCAAATGGATTGAAAAAATATGGTACATTTACACGATGGAATACTGTCCAGCATGCAGGAACAATGATTTTGTAAATCATTATTTCACTTGAGAGGGACTGGAGAGCATTTTGTTTAGTGAACTCAGTCCCACAAGGACAAATACTGTATAAGAAGACCATTATTGCAGAAACAGATGACCAGTAAAATGTGTATGAGGATCTAAGTGGGGTGAGGGTGGGAGCAGAGGGGTGGGGGAGTTGTACAATTTGATAGGTAGAGGGGCAGATTGGGTGAAGGAAATGGGAAAGATCTGGTGTGAAAAACAACGAATATGAACTTTGAAAGTAAAACAGTATAAAATAAAAATTTCTGTCAATTTTTTAATTAATACTGCACATTTTCTTCCCCCCACGCCCCTTTCCCCAACTCACCCTGCAATGTACCCCTTGTTCCAGATTCTTATACATTTAATACCCAATCATCTATTCCTTCCAGACAGTTCTTCTCCTCATCTGAACTACTGCCATGTTCATTATTTGTCCACTTTCCCCCCATTCTCTCCTCATCTCCCCATGTCAGTCCTATTTTATAACAGTGGTGTTATGCAGTATGTCTTTTTGTGACTGAGATAGTTCACACAGCATAATATCCTCCAGGCTTCCCTATGTTATGTAATGTTTTATGAGTTCATTTTTTATCAGTATTCCATTGTGTTAATGTACCAAAGTTTTTCTATCCATTTGTTTTGTTGACAGGCACTTGGGTTGCTTCCATCTCTTTGCTATTGTGAAAACGCAGCAGTAAACATGGGTGTACATTGAATTACTTTTCTGTGTATCAGGAAATTCTTCCCCTTCCTCCACAGAAATGGCAAGTTAAGGGCTTCACTCCTTGCTATAAAGTCAGAATCGACTCATACCTTATCTTCCAGTGGGTTTTCAGAGGCTGTAAATCACATGGAAGGAGATTGCCCATTTTTTTTTTTCTTTGAGCATCTTGTGGGTTAGAATCCCCAGCCTTGTCAAGGGTAAAGAAAGAGGTTCAATTGTTCCCAAGATGTATGTTGTTGTGTGTATCATCAGGTTGGATTGAACTCATAGCTGACACTCCAGTGGGTTTTTGGAGGCAATTAACCACATGGGAGGAGTTTGGCCATCTTTCTTTCCCAGAGCAGTTGGTGGATTCAAACCAGTTGGCGTCTCTTGTTGGCAGTGCAGCTCTTCACCATTAGCCCACCACAGCTCCCCCTAGAGGTGCATACTGAGTCCTTCACCTACGCTGGATTCACAAGACAACCTGTCAGAGGAGTCCTAGCCTCCCAGGGGCTGAGGTCTCTGATGGAAGGAAGTACGTGTGATTATCTAATTGCTGGACCCACTGGGCTATGACAGGAAGAGGGGTCAGACCTCTGGCCTGGGTCCCTTCCGCTGCATCTGGCTCCCAAGAAGCTTGTGCTGCTCCCACTTTGCCCGCATCCTCTTTGGCTTCACCAAGTTGTGTCCTTTGGTGCTTCGTCGCCTTTACACCCCTTGCTTGCCTGGTCTGAGGGCGCCACGGGCCCGGAAGGGGGCAGAGTCTGAGTTTTTCAGTCTCCTTAAAGGGGGAAAGGAGCAAAGAAGGGAGACTGAGGAGAAGTGGGGTCCTAGGAGACCTTCCAAAGGGGAGCCTTTCACATTTACATTTCAGTCACAGGGCACCTCACACCCCTGGGCCCCCCCACTTCTCCTGGCCCCCACCCGCACCCTCCCGCCAGCGGGAGCTCCCCGCACTTCGATCTGTCTGTCGTCGTCTGTTGTCCGTCTAGCGTCGGTCTGTCCGCTGAGGGAACGCGCGGGGTGCTCTGCAGCTCGGCGGGGTGGGCGCGCCCCCTGAGGCCCGGGCGCCCCTCGCCGCCTGGGCGACCTCTCGGCGGGGCCAGGCGGGGGAGGGACAGCAGCAGGTGACGACTGCGCGGCCGCGGGGCTATAAATAGGAGCGCCCGTCAGCCGGCTGAGCGGCGGCGGCGAGGGGCCCGGAGGGCAGGGGTCGCGGCGTGGGCAGGGGCCTGGAGGGCAGGGGCCGGCGCTGCCATGGGCACGCGGAGGCTCCTGAGTCGCGAGTGGGGCGCGGGCGTGCGGGCCGGGGCGGGGGGCGACGGCGAGGACGACGGACCCGTGTGGACCCCCAGCCCGGCCAGCCGCAGCTACCTGCTCAGTGTGCGCCCCGAGACCAGGTGAGCCGTGCCCAAGGGGCCGGGCCGGGTGGGCGTGCAGGGAGGGCGAGGCCGCGCAGTGGGGCCCCTCGTGCTGTCCCCCTCCCCAGGCACTGTGGGGGTGTCCTGAGGCCTCCCCGGGCCCGCTCTCTCTGCGAAGGCCCCAGCCTGGGCCCAGGCCAAAATGGCCGTCCAGGCCCCTCTGGACTTCTCCACCTCCGCTGGCCCTTGGGCCCAGGCCCTCGGCAATGCAAAGCTCCAAGAGCAGGAAAGCTCTATTTCTGCAGATTTCACAGGGTGGGGCCTGAAGGCTCCCCTTGTCTCCCCCTCCTCGCCCCCTTTCCATCTGCACCCCTCACCCCACACCCCGCCACTCCCTGGATTCCACAGTTAGTGATAAGCAAAACCAGAGTGGCTGGAATTCCTCCTGGCTGCAAGGGAGGGGAGAGGAGCTGGGGTGGGGGGCTGCTCATCCCAGAGCCGAAGGGGGGTCCCGGAGAAGAAAGAGATCTTTGCAAATAAGTTTCCTCCAGTGCCCTGGTAGTTGGGCCTGCCCTAAAACTCTCTTGGGAATTGGGATGAGGTGCTGGTTGGCTTCATGTGGGGTTACCCATGATTGAGTTAGCCAAATGCCCTGCCCGATTTTGGGGAACAGAGTGCCAAGGGAAGGGCTTGATTGATGCACTTTTCACTCCCCTTCCAAGAGTGTAAAAAGATAGGGAGACTGTTTTAGGAGGTAGGCTGCTCCCAGACATGAAGACATGCAGACACAGATGGACAATAGAAAAGTGTATTGACACTTTACGACCCACGGTCACATCCAGACAGGAGTTTGGCCATGGAGAGGGGCACTTCCTGTCCCCTATGGGCAGCTCAGTTTTCCCTGCAGCTCAGGAGCTTATTTTCTGTGAGGAAATGTGAGCGGGACAGTTTGGTTATTTGAACAGTGGTTGCTTCATCTTCTCAGAACATAACTTGTTCTATATTATGGAGAAAACAGCTTCTCCACTGAGACATTGTCACTGAACCTCTTGTCCCTTGACCCTAAAACAGCTCAAAAATAGGCATCAAGGACATTTAGGAAAAGCCCAGGGCACTTCCTTGTGGATTGGCCGAGTCCTGTTGACCTTGGAGCTGGAAAAGTTCAGATGTAACCGGAACCGTTTCTGCCTAAAACTCGTCAAACGGTGTCACATGTCTGAGGCAGGACTGAGGACTAGTGTTAGTGACTGAGTCAGATGCTATGGGTCCCTGAGTGCCAGCAAAGAATAGCCCTTCTTTCAAACCATTGGCTTTCCAGAAAAATTGTAATGAAATGTGGAGAATTATTCCTGTTCTTGGTGACACACACTCCTTTATGAGGGGCTCACACCTGTCTTAATACTGGTCTCAACGGCATGTCTGGCTTTGCCTCCCAAGTCTGTTCTCTGTTTATACAAGAGGTGGAAAATAGCTCTTCTTAAAAGCAACAGCGATGGAGGGAGAAAAGGAAGGGAGATAGGAAGGGGAGGGAGGATGGCTTGGTAACTGGGGAGAATGAGGAGGGGAGGTGTCTGGGTTGTTAAGACAAAGCCTGTTGGGAGAGTGAAGATAGTGGGGCTGCCTGGCTGAACAGCTGTGTGAAGATGAATCTTCATTACACCTCTGATGAGCACAAAGCAGTGTGCCAGCCAGAGAGTGGAGGTGGCATAAAAGTGGCTGATTTAAGTCCTTCTTAGACTTAAATAGGAGTGTTATTAGAAGGAGCCTCTTCATCAGGCTTTTGTGAGGGACGTGACGGGGTCAGTGAGGTTTTCTAGCCCAGGACTATCGGTTGTCTTTTGCCCTGCAGAGTAGTTTATGCTCCTGATAACTGGCCACTGACCTCCATAGGTCTTGAGAGACAAGAAGACCCAGCCTGTGCCAGACAGAAGACAGTGGGAATGGGGTTGCATGTTGGTGAGGGGCGAAAAGGGAACAACTCTCTGTTCTTTAGCCAAATCTGGTTCCTGTGTTGGAAGAAGCTACCATTCCTCTTAACACCCCCACTGCTTTGAGAATAGACTTTGAAGAGAGGAGAGACAAAGAGGCCCTGTCAGGGTGTTGCCTTTGCCGAGCTGTTCCTCGCTCCAGGTCAGCTAAAAGAACGTCCGAGTCACTATGTTTTCAGGAAGCCTCACCACTCCAGGGTCCTGACTCAGAAGTACATCCATCCTTGACTCCAACAATTTTCAGGTGTCTCCCAAAATTTTATCCATTGTCTGTCTGTCTGTCTGTCTATCTATCTATCTATCTATCTATCTATCTATCTATCTATCTATCTATCTATCATCTATCATATCATCTATCATCTATCTATATCTATCTATCTAAAGTAGGAGTAGCATCCACGTTCTAAACAACATGTCTCTGGAAACTAAATGAACTTTGATAAATGTTGATAGTTATAGAAAGGCTTCAGGTCTTTTGTTCATAGGGTTGGTATGAGTCGTGTTAGAAGCAGTCAACAACAACAATCTATCTCTCTATTATCTATCTATCTATCTATTTATCATATCATATCATGAAGCACTTGAGGCATTCTTCTGGTGAGCCTTTGTGAGGAGGGGCTTTTCCTTGGAGTTGACAGACAACTGGCCTGGGGCAAGAACACCAGAAGCTTTGGCCCAAAGTCCTGATCCTCCATTTCCACTTCTATCTTTGGAGGACTTTCTGGTCCATAATCCATTAAAGGATCTCTCCAATATTCAATAGGATCAGAGGCTAAATAGTTCCATCAGACTATAGACCCAGCCTCCTATGTCACCAGCATCCTATGGGATGGAGGGTGTGGTGAATTAGAGTGAGTTTAGGAAGCACTAGCTTCTGAGGGACACTCAGAAGTTCCAGGGGCCCCTGTCCCCTTGTTTCCTGGAAGCCTTGGTCCAGGTGGGTTCAAAGGAATAGCAGAAACTTGTGACATTCCTGTAGACAGTTTGTCTCCTCTGTCTGCTGTTTTACCTGGATCAGTTAAGTCATGGGGAGGTGGGGTGGTGTCTGAGAAATGGAAGTGTCAGGCCAGGACTTCTTGAAGGGCCTGTGTTCCTGAATAGGTGATAGCCAGTGGGCAGTGGGAGGCTCCCATGGCAAGTCCCTTCCCTACCCTAGGTCCATATCTCTCCTTAATGTAAGGAGGCTTTCCTGGGCCTGAATTCTCATTCTATAGAATCAAGATAGCTTTCAGAACAATAATTCATTGCTGCCAAGTTGGACCTGACTCATAGCTGGTCCACCAGTGGGTTTCTGAGGCTGTAAATTGTATGGGAGGCAGTTGCCCATCTTTTCATTCTCAGAGTGACTGGTGGATTCAAACCACCAGAGAGATGAGGTCATGGGGTTAGCACTGCAAACCTCTACACTCTAGGCCACCAGTTAGCATTGTTGTTGTTTCATGCTGCAGAGTCTGAATGTACTCATTGCTGAACCTCTGAGTTTTCAGAGTGCTTTCAATCACCTGAGAAGTGATTGCTCATCATTCTCCTTCGGAGCAGCTGGTTTTGGAATCTCAAAGCTTTTGGTTTGGAATCAATACTATTAGGAAATCTTTAAGACCTTGCTGCCCAGCATCTGATGTCTCCAATTCTGATTCCCCAAGAGGCAGTAAATGGGGAGCACCCCTCACTCCAGTCCCAGCCTGATCGAGAGCCCTGAGTTTAGCTTTGGCCTCATCAGCAGGGTGCAGGCAGGCACTGGCCTGGCTAAGCAAGCATGAAACCTGGAGAAAGAGCATACAGGGCCAAGGAGCAAAGCATCCCAATCAGAGAGCTGTGAGGAGGGCTTGTGGAAGGTACTCCCTCAGCTCAGCCCCCTTGCAAGTGGTTGTTGTTGTTGTCATGTGCTGTCGAGTCACTTGTGACTCATAGCGACCCTATGTACAACAGCCCTAAACTCTGCTTTGTCCTGTGCCAATCGCACCGTCTCTGATACACCCATCCCAATTACCCCAGTTACTGAATCAATCCACCTCACAGAGGGCCTTCCCCTCCTGCGCTGTCCCTCCACCCTCCCTTGGGGCATGATGTCCTTCTCCAAGGATCGGACACTCCTTACAACATGTCCAAAGTGTGTTAGACGGAGCCTCCTTGCTTCCAAGGAGCCGCCCGATTTGACCCTTTCCAGGATGAATCTGTTTTCCTAGCAGTCCATGGTACCCTCAATACTCTTCTCCAGCGCCACAGCTCAAAGGCATCAATTCTCCTTCTATCCTCCCTGGTCATTGTCCAACTTTCTGATGCATAGCAAGTGATTGCAAAGACCATGGCCTGTATCAGATGCACCTTAGTCTCCAGAGAGACACCATTGCTCTTCAGTACTTTGGAGAGGTCCCTAACAGCAGACTTTCCCATGGCAATACGTCTTCTAATTTCCTGGCTACTGGTGCTGAGAGTGTTGACTGTGGAGCCAAGCAGACTAAAGCTGTGAACAATCTTAATCTCTTCACCATCCATTCTGATGCTGCCAATTGGCCCAGTGGTGAGAATCTTTGTCTTCTTGACATTGAGCCTCAATCCATATTGAAGGCTGCAGTTCTTGACCCTCTGCAGCAAACGCTTCAGGTTCTCCTCACTTTCTGATCTTGTAGGTTGTTGTTGTTGTTGTTTAATGCTGTCGAGTCGTAGACGACTCATAGCGACCCTATGAACGAACAGCCTGAGCACTGTTCGTACATAGAGTTTCCAGAGGCAAGCCATTTTGGAAGTGGATGTCATTTCCCCCTAAATTAGAAAGCTGACTTTCTTTCCAGGAAGGGGCGGGGGGAATCCAAGACCTAAGAAAATAGAAAGCTTTCAGCTTTAAGGAAAGAGGCTAGAGGAAGTTCATGGTCAGGAAAGGATGAAGTTGGCCAGTGTCTTGGACACATGGGAGGTTCTGCCCACGCAGCCTCCAGAGAGTGTTTAAGACTCTGAGCAAAGACAGCTGCACTTGTGCTTTCTTCTTTCCATTTTTCTGGAGAAGTAGCTCCCTCTTTTTATGGAGGGGTGGTGGGCAAGACTCTTCCTGTTTGCAAGAGGTTTTCCCCTTCCATTCCTTTTTTCATCCCTCCCTCTCCATACCCATTGTATGCCTCCTACTGTGCTCACTATAAAGCTACTGGACCAGCTGGGTTTGAAGGCTGGTGGATAGGGTTTAAGAGGCTCTGGTGGTGTAGTCTGTAGTGTGTTGGGTTGCTTACCAGAAAGTTGAGTGTCTCCAGCAGTTCAAAGCCATAGGTGGTTCTAAGGGGAAAATATAGGCCCTCTCCTCCCATTAAGACATACAGAAACTCGATAAAAGGTTGGTCATTATGAGTAGGAATCCAATCAGCAGCCAAGAGTATGGTTTGGTTTGGACAGGATTTAATTAAGCAGAAGGAAGGAAGGGGGCATTTCTAAGAGTAGAGCACTAAAGTGGAGGCCCAGGGCTGGGAGAGGACAAGTTCATGCCAGGACATGTCAGGCTGCCGTGGAACAGAGGGTGGGGAAATTAAGGGAACCATGCTTGTAATAAGCATGTGAGCAGAACAGGAAGGACCCAGATTACTCAATGAGTTGAGAGACTCAATGCAGTAGACAGTAGGGGGGAATTGTAGCGTTTTATTCAGAGCGCTGGTATAAGGTGAAGGGTAAGGAGAAAGGTGCTGTTGTGGCTATGAAGTATGAAGCCAGGACTGAAGAGCACAATAGCAAGAGCAGAGACAAAAGGAGAAAGAAGGACCAAGAATTGTTTTGGAGGATGAAGGGGAGGCGGGGATCCCAGATAGCAGGCTTTATTATTTGAGAGAATGCTGGTGGTACCCACAAATCAAGGAGGATTGTAGAGGAAGCAGGGTTTTAGGGAAGAAGTTGAGCTTGGTTTTGTGGTCAGAAAGAGACCTGGAGTGCTATCAGGGTGGATTAGCCGGTAAGTACAGTACACACCAGTGTACTGTAAGCAGGGTACACATGGGCTTAACTGTACTGACTAATTGTGTGGAGAACAATTTCACGTCTTTGGCACGGCAAAACCCAGGTGAAGTTATTCTCTACAGATCAGTAAATAATCACGATCAAGCCCCCTGGGATGTTGCTTAGGGGGTAGCCCATCCCTGACTTTGAGACAGGCTGCCGATAAGGAAGGGAGCCCTTTGCTCAATGTTGTGGCAGGTGGCAGAGGGGAGAGGAGTGTGTGGATAGGATGGCCTTGAGATCTCCCTAATAGCGGGGGTCTAATCTCTGGTGACCTAGGCAGTAGGGAGTTTCACTGCCAACCCAAAGGTGGACAGTTCAAATCCATAAACTGCTCTGAGAAAGAAAGATGGGCAGTCTCTTTTGATGTGATTTACTGCCTCTGAAAAACTGCTGGAGGGTAAGTTGGAGTCATTTCCCATTGGATGGTAATGAAAGATAAGCAGCCACAGGTGATCTTTGGTTTAGAAACAGTTGAGGGAGAGGTCAGAGTTAACAGCCTACATGGGCTGGATTTCTACAAAGGGGCATCTGTGGGTCCTCACGCCCTTTGTGGACTCGGCCAGCATCCCCTCTAAGCCCTCCATGTGGGCTGACGGAGTCTCAGGGAAGGGGCTCTGTGCTGGTCTCACTGAGCTGGGCGCCTCCGGCTCCTGCTGAATTAACCGCTTTCTTTGTTTCTCCTCTTCTTCACTCTCCCAGCTCGTTTGCCTTGTGTGGCCTCCTTAACCGAACTTTAACATATTAATAGGGGGTGTTTTCCAAGCCACCTGCTCCTTCCTGGCCTGTCAGGGGATTTCCAGGATTGGGCATCTTTTCCCTCCAAACACCCAGGACTGAAGCGAGGAACTGCCCCAGGGTTGGTGTGCTGTGGGGTGGAGAGATGGTCCCAGGGAGCTGTCAGCCCTGCTTGTGGCACCAGAGACCCAGGTGCCTGGGGCACAACTTTCCCGAAGTGCAGCCTCAAAGGACTGTCTTTCTGCCTAACCATTTCCTTGGACTTCGCTGCATTTAACGAGCTCTTGATTTCAGATACATCGGTGGCGGATGGTGAGGCCACTTGCTAACTGGAACAGGCCAACTGAGACAGCTGGTCCCTTTTAATAGAAAGGCCGCTGGGCCCCAGATGGTGGCCGATTAATACTTAGCAACTGTTGTTGATTTCGCCTCCTCCCCTCCTTGCTTTTCTGGCCTAATGATTCCATTTGCTGTTTTTGCTTAGCTTATCAAGCAACCGGTTGTCTCACCCCAGCTCTGGAAGGTAAACGCACATTGCATTACATTTCTCGGACTGCTTTTTCTCTTGGGTCTCCGAGTGACTGGGGGAACCCCGGGGGGACTGCTTGCCCACTAACGAAGCTGCATGGGGTGAGGGGAGGCCTGGAAAGTGGGGGAGGCTGTGAGAAGGTGCTCACGTGAACATGGGCCTCAAAGGCATAGGGCTGGTATTTGCATGGGCCATTTGGAAGGAGGGCAGGTACCTATGGACAAGGACATGGTCACGGGTCCCTGAGATGCCTGCAACAGCATCTCTGTGCCCCAGGGAGAGGAACTCATCACTTGATGCACCTCTCCCCTAGGCTAGATTTCCATGGTTTTTGTAACCACACCTCCAGGTTGAATGCCTTGTTGTCTATCTTTCTAATGGCCAAGACCTTTAAAAATCTTATTTAACCCCTTAACTTCTCCTAAAGACCTCTTTCCCTAAAATCTCCTTCCCATTTTGTTCCTCCCACATCCTGGCAAACTGAACTCTGTCATGTCAGGTGACACTATATTAGCTTGTTCCTGCCCTGGCTGGATGTGCTTTAGGACCAGTGTGGGGTCTGAGCAGACCCATGGCCAGAGTTTGATTGTTGGGGACAACTTTCTATCCCTGGCTGAACTACTATTATGATCAAAGGGGGAACATTTCCTGGCTTCTTCCCACCACTTGGACCTCATCCCAGACTCTAGTAGGTTTGGGGAGAGTTGGCCTCAGTTCCATTACACGGACAAATTTCTGAGTAGCTCTCTGGTCTGTGAATAGCTTATAGTGACCAGAGACATTGTTAGCATGCATCAGGTATGTGGTCATTTGGTGGGAGAATACTAAGGAGCTCTGAGTTTGGAGGGGCTCATAGTCCAGAAGAAGGTGGAAGAGGGCTTGTACACAATTGACTCAAAGCGGAGCATGCTAAGTGCTGAAAGACAGAGGACTTGGGGTTTATTTACAAGGTAAATAACCAAACCAGAGTAGAGTTCCTTTGAACACCATGAGGTCAAGAATTCTGGTATTCTTCAGAGACACGTGACTAGGCTGTGATACCTTGATGAGGTCACAGAGTTGGCCGGACTTGGAAGTGTCAGGGTGGAACAAGACCATTTCCAGATGTGTAGACTTCCTGGCTTTCCAGGGAACTGGACACAGCAGCCTTAAAGGCCATCCCACATCTGCCTCGATTGGATGGTGGGAACAGGAAGTGTGTGGCAACCAAAAACGGACTCAGTGTAACACGGACAACATATGTAGTGATGCTGTGCATCCCTCAGACACATCCCAAACCCACACTGTGGAGGGCTCTCTTCTAGTCCTTTTTCAGCAGTTACTTAAATTCAAATGTAAACTCCTTTTTTTCTTCTTGTTGTTGTAATATAGCTTAGGACCTACCATGGAAAATTTGAACAGATGGATAGATATATGCTGTTCCTCATTCAAAAGAAGTAATGGAATAGTGCTTGCTTCAGCAGTAAATTTACAAAAGAAGTAATGGAATAAAATGCATATCATTGAAAATTTCTAGTACTTGTCTTTGCAAATTTCCTTGAAGTATATTTCTCATGCTTTCTCACTTGGAAGCTGTGGTGATTTTCTTAGATTTGCCCCAAAAGTTTCATCTCTAAGAATCTAAGCCTCGAATTGGATACAGGGTCATGTTCATGGGTGAGGTAAGATAGAAATTACGTAAGGAGGCTATAATTAGGGATGTCTGAATAAGTTGCAGAATCATAGACGTCATATTCCCATTAGCATGGCAGTTTCTTCTAGAAATTGGGGAGGGAGCTGGCATTTTCCAAAGTCAGAAACTGCTGTTTGTATGACAGCAGCCAGAAACATTTTTCAGTATTATTTCCCGAGTATTCAAGGAGTTGATAACCCACATCCTGAGCCTATAACCTTCTATATTTGAGTGGGCTAAGAGGGAACGGAAAAGAATGTCATTGAAGAGATTAGTCCCAGGTTGAACTGGGTTTTACAGAAGTCTAACTGCAGACCCAACTTAGTATATAGTGTTGGAATGTCCTTTGAGTGTAGTCTTTGTGGAGGAGAGCTTCCTTAATGCCGAGGCACCCACATTCTTGTGAAGAATCCCAGACTGGCCCCCAATCATCCCAGAACCCTTATTTTTCACACATTTACTAGCTATAGCCTTTTCCCTCAAAGCCAAGTCCATTGTAACATCCACAGAAATGGTAAATTTGAATGTGGGACTCCTCCAAAGTGTATAGGCCACAAACCTTATTTGTGCTCCCACGAATTTCCACTCCACCTCCTGGTGAAGATGTGAAGAGAACACATACTGTTGCCGTTGGGATGACCACTCCCTCCATGGCTCACAGAGCAGCCGCTTCCTCGCACGGTTTCTCCTGCTTCTCTTCCCTTGGCCCCTCACGGCCCCCTCCGCTGCTTACTCTGGGTTTGTGCTTGGGGAGGAAGAGTGGGGCTGGGCACAGATTGTGCAACACATGACCTGGCCATGTGGTTTTGCCTCACGCCTGGGAATGCACTGTGTCTCTGGTGGGCCGGGAAGGGGTTTGGCTTGGTGATTTGCTTCCTGATCCCAGGAAGGAGAGGGCTGTGGGCCCCGAGTTTTCCCTGGGCTCCCTGGTAAGCACAGAGATGCCCCTCGCCTTGGGGAGATGGACCGTCTTAAGAGAACTAAACACCTCAGCTTTTGCAGGTGGATCTGTTCGTGGGTTGGCAGTCCTGCTGGTGGATTCTGGATTTGCCAGTCACATCCTCACCACAGCCTGTGGTACCCAGGCACGGAGCAGGGAAGCCACGCTGGCTTTCTACTTCAGGTCCAGAGCCCTGTTGGGGTCAGAGTTCATTGGCCTCTATCTTCTAATATCCAGGAGCTCTGGTGGTATAGTGGTTAAAGTGTGTTTCTGCTCAGTGGTTTGAAACCACCAGTGATTCTGTGGGAGAAAAATGTGGTGGCTTCCTAAAGATTGACAGCCTTGTAGATCCTTTGGGGCAGTTCTACTCTGTCCTGGACCACTATAAGGCAGAATCAACTCAGAAGCAGTGGCTTTGGCTTTTGGGGTTTTTAATTTCCCTAGGAATGAGAGTCTGCCTGTGGGTCTAGGCCCTTGGCGTTGGCTCACTTATTCTTTGTTTACTATGGGTCTCTGCTCACAAATGTGGGAGTTTTTCTTCTGAACTCCAAATCCAGTGAAGACCCTGAGCTCCTAGGGCCTATGTATCCTTGGGGGGTTGGCCAGCTTTCCCCTCTTTGGCATGAATGGAGGCTCTGCTGTGCTAGGGGCTCCATACCTGAGGCTTGATCTATTCATGTGTGTGACTCCCCATGCACGAGCTTCCCTGGAGATGAAAGACGGAGGGTGAAGCAAGACTCCCAGTGGGGTTAAGTGGGGATACCTGGGCTGAGGACTGGCATGCTCAGGAGCTTGGCCTGTGATCATAGCTGCCTATTGTGATGGGCCTGGGCTAGGATTCCACTTAGCCTCTGGGCACCATCCATGCCCCCGACCTGGCCGAGAGGCCCGGGCTCCTTTGAAGAAAGAATTGCTGAAGTGCTATGGCCGTGACCATGGGATGATGGATGGACACTGCAAAGGCAGGGATGGGAGCTGTCTTGGGCAGCGCTGAGCTGTGGCATGTCTTGGGGAGGGTGGCTCTGAATAGCTCTTTGCCTTTCCTAGGAGCACCTTCTGCTCCATCATTGCTCAGCTCACAGAGGAGACCCAGCCACTGTTTGAGACCACGCTCAAGTCCCGGGCTGTGTCCGAGGACAGCGACGTCAGGTTCACCTGCATCGTCACAGGTAAGGAAGCAGCAGAGTCTCTGCACAGAGCAGGGGCCAAGGAAGCTGTGGATATGTGTGGTGTGGGGATTGGCTGTGTGCATAGAACTGTGCAAGTTGGCATTTGCTCTCTTAGCTTTCTCCGCAGTTTAATCTCCCTATATGGGCTGGTGGTTGTGTACTGAAGAGTCTGAACCGACTCATAGCTGACCCTCTAGTGGGTTTTTAGAGGCACCAGCTTGCATGGGAGGAGTTTGCCTTTCTTTCTTCCACAGAGCAGCTGGTTGATTCAGACCACATGCCTTTATGTTGGCAGCACAATTCCTTACTACTGAGTCACCAGAGCTCCTTTATAGGGAAGGACTTCCGATAACATGACACAAAGCCCACCCCCCCAAAAAAAAGCTAAAAATGAAAGTGGCTTAGTGGTAAGGAACTCGACAACAACAATGGTACTCAATAAGAACAGCAGCAGTGTGGGTTCGGGTTGTTGAATCTCCCATTCTGGTGTCATGGACACACCTTGTTCTTCTCCTTCAAACCCTGCTTTCCATAAAGGCTTTCATCTTCCATAAAGATTCTTGTATATATACATGTATGTCAGATGAATCGTAGTTCTGAAAACAAAAGTTCTCAAATTGAAAAAAGCTTTGAAGGGGTGTTGGGGTAAGAGATCTCTGTGTAGCCCATTTTACAGGCAAGTAGTTTTAGGCCTGAGAGGCAGTAAAATGTGGTGGAGCTAGACTGATTGGTTTAGAATCCTGGTTTATTCCCTTTTCAATGATGTGATATTGAATTATATAATCTCTTTGTCGCTCACTTGTCACATTTGTAAAGTGGGGAGTGGGGATAATGACAGCACTAATTTTATAGGAGTTTTGAGAGGATTGAATGAGTTAGTACATATAAAACATTCAGACCTAGTACCTGGTGTATATATTAAGAACCATGCAAATGCTAAGCTAATTAAGATTTGTCATTAATTGCATAACAGGGAGCCAATTGACAGATTAGGAAGCAGAGTGCTGTTCCTCAGAGGAAGAGTGGTAGGCTGCTGGGAGGCTGGCTCCAGACATGCCACTCTCCCTACACTGCCAAGCAGAAACTTCTTAGACCAACTCGTCAGCACCTCCCCTCACATCTCTGGAACCACAAGACTTTTGTAAGAAAATCGCCAAATTCTTACATTGAGCTCAAGGTTCCCACTAAGAATTTGTTTTTTCTTTAAAGCAAGGCTATGGGATGAGAAAATTGTAGGGAGCTCCCAGCATTGGCATTCCCTGACCCTGGGGGACTTGTCTACCCCAGGCAGCTTGTGTGGGTGTTGGATTTTCACGATTGCTCTTCATCCTTATCCCAAACCCTCTGAACTCCAGGCTGAGGACGCTGTGTTCCGAGGACACAGAGACATGCCTGCCTCCCTTCCCTTTGTACAGCTTATTACGTCTTGTAAAGTTCATCTGTTTCCATTGTCACTGAATTCTTACAACAACTCAATGAAGTAAGTACTATTATTAGTTAAATTTTACGGGGAAGAAAACAGGGAGGGGTTAGATGACTTGCCAACATCCACCAAGCTGGTAAGGAGAAGATAGTACTTTTCTTGTCAGTGGTGTCTGATGTTACAGGCATCTGTCTACATTTCCCACATTATGGTGTTACTATGAGGAAGACCCTTGAGCTGGGTTGTTACAGTAGCTGCAGCACTGAGCTTAGGTACAGCAGAGACTGTAAGAATGGCACGGGCCTGGGTAGTGTTTCACTCTTGCACACAGGCTCGCTATGACCTGGAGCTGACTAGATGACACTTAACCATGATGGGCATAGTTTGATGGTGAATGATTTTATAACACATAATGAATGAGAATGATTGTATAAAACAATGTGAATAAAGTATAGTGTGAAACACAGTGTATATAAACTTTGTATGCAAACCAATTTAACATTTTTAAAAAACACACAACCCAATAACAGTTTTTAAAGAAAAAGGATTATTTCATAACATCATACTTTTGTATATGCTGTTTTCTCTATCTAGAAAGCTACCCTACTTTTAAAGATTTTACTTCTATTCTATTAACACATTCACAAAGTTTAAGACTTCAAGTTATACTGAAAGGAATGTGTCAAAATATAGCAGGTTGTCTTTCCAGAAACAACCATCTTCAACTTTTAGCTCTTTTCTTCTTGGGTGTGTACATCTCTATGATACTAAGCAATATGCAAATACTGCTAACTTTTGAGTCTTAAATTTTATTGTTTTTGTTCTGCTGTGGAGTCAGTTATGACTCAAAGTGACCCAGTGAACAATGACGCTGAAACCCGCACGACCCTGTGCCATCCTCACCATCTCCAGTGCACTTGCGCCCATTGTTACAGTCACCGTGTTGATCCATCTTGTTGAGGGTCTTCCTCTCTTACACTGAGCCTCTACCTTTCCCAGCATGAGATCCTTCTCCGAGACTGGCCTGTCCTAACGACATGCCCAAAGTATGTGAGATGGAGTTTTCACCATTCTTGCTTCAATTTTTCAATTCTTTAGTATCTTCCTGGTGTAGTAGATAAAAAAATTTAGCTCTTCTATCATTACTTTCTCTGCCATCCCTCACATATCCTCTCAATATTATTGTGTGTGTGTGTATGTGTGTGTGTGTGTGTGTGTGTGTATGTGTGTATAATATGCTTTATTTAAAATGCACATTTCAGTGAAAGCAGACTGAGTCTCAATTAGCATCTGTTACATATATTTTTACCTCAATCAGGATTTATTGTTTCTATTTTTATGACTATTCAATATTTTAAACTGGATTCTATGGTATATTATGATTATATTTATTTTTTTTTACTTCTGTTTTCCCTAAACATAATGCTTTTATAGCTGCCTAATACGTTTTTCCACAAGATCAGTGTTGTCAATTATCTATTCTTGGAATTAATTTCCTTGGAGACCTCCCTCCTGGGGTTCTCTATTCTTCTGTTTGAGTTAATGGTCTTCAAGGCTCGATACACAACCTTTATGTTGGATTTTTCCTCTAACTTTCTCCTGGACTTTAGTTCCTACATTTCATGACTTCATTTTTATTGGTTGACTTTTTGGCTTCATTAGAAGACATCCCCTAGTAGTTTCTTCAGGTATTAAAGCCGGTTCAACAACAAAGGACAGGGTGGTGATAGCTCTTGATCATTCTCTCCTTTGATTCTTTCTTTTTTCAGTGTATGATTTAAATGCCCTCTGTGTCTAGTGCATACTCGTCATTGGTGGAGAGTTTGGCTGGGTGTAGATTTTAAGTTGCAAATAATGTTCTTTTAGAATATTAAAGATACTACTTCTTTGACTTCTTGTTTCTAATGTTACAGTTGAGGATTGGGTGATATGTGGCCAGATTTTTATCTCTGGAAACTTGAAAGGCCTCATTTCTCCCAGTGTTATGATAATTCGTATTGATTTATCTTTTTGCATTGTAAATGGTGTGATCTGTAGGAAATTGCACTGCAAACTCAAACGCCAATGTCTTTAGTGGTCTGGATCCACCAGCTACTCCATGGAAAAAAGATGGACAGTCTTCTCTGGCGTGATTTATAGCCTCAGAAACGGAATGGAGAGTCAGCTGTGAGTTGGTTCTGACTCAACGGCAATGAGTTTGAATTGTGATTTGTTGTTTTGGGGTTTTTTTTTAGTTTTTGTCAACTTGACATAATTATTTACCTTGACAAAGATATCTTTTCACTCTGGCATACTTCGCTGCTTTCCTTCTGGAAACTGATAGGCTTTATATTATGATGTACCATTGAATTAGAAACAATCATTGCTGATCCTCTAAGTGGATTTTTAGAGACAATAAAGTACATGGGAGGAGACTGAACAATTATTCTCTGTGAAGCAACTAGTGGGGTTTGAACACATGCCTTTGAGCTGGCAGTGTGACCCCTTACCACTCAGCTACCAGCTCTCAAAAAAGCTTGGGGTTACTGTGTTGTTGATGCCTTCCTCTCATGTACTCTGTTCTCTTCTGGAACTCTTGTTATTTGGGTATATGCTTCTTTGGATGAGTTCTTTTATTATTCTTTTTTCATTTTCACCCTCTACTTTTTTTTGACGTTAGCTCAATTTTATCTTTAAGTTCTTCTATTCTTTTTTAAAAATTCTTTTTTTTGGTAGTATTTTTTACTGATATATTAATGAAAGTTTATAAAGAACTTGGATTTCCATTCATTCATTGTTGCACCTTTTCCTTCCTGCCCACCCAGTTGGCTTTTCTCTTTGAAAAGAAAAAAAAACTTCTTTCATTGTTATACAATTCCCTGCCCACTCTCCTCCACCCCTTCTCAGTACACTTTACTTTGCAGCTCTTATTCTGGACTCTTTTTTTTTTTTAACAGTTTATTATTATAATTTATTTTATTTAACAGTCTAAGAAGTTCGCAGCCATCAGCAGTTCCAGTCAATTTCAGGTGCAATTGGGAATTCGGGAATCTCAGTGGAGCTGTTAGTGTAGCAAACCTTGTAGGTAAAATACATGCAAACTTTTGATAGCACGTGTGAAGGGATCTCTCTTAAAATTGACCTCATTGGTTTCATTTTCAGCAAACTGACCTGGGCCACTCAACATGGCTTTTATTGTTCCTGATGTTAGTGCATGTTCTCTTTTTACAATAAATTCATGACCATCAGAAGATATCAATTTGACATACATGGCATCTGGGCCTTCACAGCCACCGTAAGTTTTCTCCTCTCCATCCATTATGCTCTTCGAAATTCTACTTTGTTTCCACAGGAACTTTAGTAGCTTTCTGGGGAAACGGGATGCCGTGAGCGTCTCTCTGGCTTCTGTCGGGAGGAAGTGGCTACGAGCCTAAGAGAACAGCGATGCCTGACAGATCTCAACCAATCCGGAACTTATTCTGGACTCTTGTCATGAAAAGAATACTTAATTATATATTCCTTTTAAATATTTCTCGCCCTAGTCTGTTTCAATGTAGTCCACATTATTTATCCCCTCTTTTCTTAGTTTCCCCCCAAC